CTACGGATGAGCTCCTGCAGCTTGGCCCCCTGCGCCGCGCGGTCCTCTTCCTCGAGCTCCTCGGGCGACTTGAGGTTGTTGTCCGAATTCATGACGCTCGCAGCGCGCGAGTCGACGTTGGGGAAGCGGTAGCCCTTGTAGGTGAGCAGACGGTGCATGTCGCGGATGTGCACGAGGTCCTCGCGGTGCTTGGACGTGACGCAGAGCGTGAGCTTCCACTCGTGAATGAGCTCCAGGATCTTGGTCTGCACGGGCGAGGGGAAGGGCGGCGGGCGCTCGGGAAAGCGCTTGACCATCTCGTTGAGAAACTCCTTGGTGGCGACCTGGAGGTGGAGCGGATAGCCGCAGTTCTTGACGAGGATGTCGAGCAGCGCAAGTCCGAGCATGCCCACGTGCGGGTTGCGCGAGTTGACCTTGCGCACCGTCTCGAAGGCGGCCTCGCGCGGCGTGTTGGCCTTCTTCTGATTGACGTAGTCGGCGAGCTCGAGGTTGAGCGCGAGGTTGGGCTGTCCCAGCGCAGGATGGCAGCAGCGTTCGACGTACACCGACACGGGCGAGGTCTGCATCTCTGGATCCAGGTTGCGCGCCGCCCAGTCGGCGAGCGCATTGAGCGCGCCCTGCGGAGCTATTGAGTCGGAGGCGCTGCCGGAAGAGCGCGAGCCGGAGCCATAGCGGCCCTGCGAGTGGTGGTTGTACATCAACGTAGCTGCCGTCTGTCGAGCGAACAGTGAAGCGACTGGCGGGATGATGCGAAGAAGAGAGGGTCACCGACCAGATTGCTGTTGTTCTGGACGTCAGACTGGCTTGGCTGTGGGAGAGCTGAGCTGTGAGCGTGCGTGTCGCTCTTGGCCGCTCACGCTGTGCTGCTGTGCTGCTGTGCTGCTGTGCTGCTGGGGGCTGCTGTGCGGCTCGGCTGCGCTTGTCTACACCGAGGCCGAGGCGCGTGGATTTCGCATTTTCGCCTTCGAGCCTTGCCTTTAGCTGGCCCGCCCGCGCCTCCTCTCGACTGCCCTTCCACGCCTCGCTGCTTCCAACTCGCAGCACCGAGCTGGCTCGAGCGGCGCGCATCGGCGCTCCCATCTGCACTCAATCGGGCTACTCCACATCCGATATCGCCAAAAGTAACACACTCAGGGTCCAGCCTCGATCAGAAGCTCATCACCCTACCGTGATCATTGCTACTGCGCCGCCACCATCCTGATCCGCACAGCCTGGATGCACATGCATCGGCAACCTCAACGAGCTCCATGTGGCTGCTCCAGGGTCGCTTCGCTGAGGACAGCCGCCAGGAGCTGAGCAAGCTCCTCAAGTACGGACAGACCTACACCATCGGTCGCAAGATCCCCGCCGACATCGTCGTCGATAGCAAATTCGTTTCCCGCAACTCCTGTCACATCACCGTTGCCTCCGAGCAGTCCATTGAGACTCGTCTCGCAGCCGCTACCGATCCGCTCGCCTTTCACAACGATGTTTCCCTTCGACCGCGCGTCACCATCCGCTTCGAGGCCAACAAGAGCAGAAAGACGTTTGCCGTCACCAAACAGTCCGCTCCTCCCAGCACCAGCACCAGTACCACCACAGCCGACCCCGCAGACGGTATCGAAGTGCATGTGCCTCCAGATCAGCAGCACATGCTCGAGCATGGCGATGCCTTTGCTCTCACCACCACCATCTCCCTCCGCCTTGTATGGCAGCCATTCGCCGTCTGCTTTGCTGCACGAATCAAGGAGAACGCCATAGCGCCTCTCAGACAGCCTGCTCTTCAGCTCGGCATCCATCTTTCGCCGGCGAAATCACGCTGGAAGGACGGCTACACACATCTGTGTCTCGCGCAGCTCAACTCTACCGAATCCGTCCTCTGCGCCTTGCTCCAGGCACGCCCACTCGTCTCCATCGACTACTTTCACGAGCTCTTCCGCAGGGCAGAACTGCCTCGTCATGACCCCGCCTCGCTCGAAACTTCGTTCGACGATCTGTCGCCCGCAGCCTACGTTCCTCCCGTCGACCCAGGAGAGTTGAGCGAGCTCATCGACACTCCCGACAGGCTCGTACCCGACCAGCGTCGCACCTACATGCTAAAGGCAACCACGTGCGTCTTCTTTGCGCTTCCTAGCGATCAGGCCGAGGTCGGCATCTACAAAAACGTACTCGCAGTGGCGGGCGCCCATGTCTTCACCCACAATCCAGTGGCCGAAAAGCTCGAGACCAAGGCCGACTTTGCTCAGCTCCTCATGCCGTACAAGAACAGCGCGCTCTCCTACTGGCGCAACAGCAGCGCAAAGGCTCGCAGCGAGGCTCCCGATGACGGTCTCGTCGTGCTCGTCAGCGGAGAGCATGCCGAATCGACGTGGGGACACGCCTGTGCGGTAGCGTGCAGCAACCTACGCATCGCCATGCCCACCGGCTTTCATGGACTCACCAGCGCCGTCCTCACAGCCGACGTCCGCGCACACCTAAACGTCTTCCCGAACATGCCCGACGACGATGGCGCATCCATGCCTCCTCCTGCCACCATGCCCGGCTCTTCTCCGCCTCCTCAGCCTTCCACGCCAGAAATCCGCGCAGAAACGCGCCCCAACAATGCATCGGCTCAGAAGCAACCTTCGCCCATGCGAGTTGAAGCCCCGGCAGCAGCGCCAGTAGAGCACAGGCAAACGCTGGCCAAAGATGCACCGATGTCCGAAAACGTACAATCCACACAGAGCGCAGCAGAAGGGCAGAGGAGACCGCTGACCCGCAGAACACGCAAGCCAGTATCTGAGGCAGACGACACCACCTCCCACACCACGGCGATGTATCCACCTTCTACCTCTGCACGGGCACCGGCAGACATCATAGATGCCAACACGACGGACGGCGATACTTCTGAATCCTTGGAACCGCAGGGCGGGTTGCAGACGGCTCGCTCGGCACGCAGTGGTCTCACCAGGCGTACAGGCGCCACTCGCACCAACTCTCGTCGCTCCGACATATTCGACGCCATCTTACACACGGGCGATGCAAATGCTTCAGCCGACGCTTCCGGAAACATCAGCGGCTCAGCGGGGACGCAAGCCGGCGGCGCAGCTTCGGTGCCGCGTAGCCGACGCTACAGAATGGATCTGGACGAGGAGGACCGCGCTCAGACGCAATCTTTGGTGGACGCGCAAGCCTCGAGTCAGAGCCAGGCAGTCGACCTCGGCAAGAGAAAGTCGCCGCCGCCCGTGGTCGGTGATGAGACCGCACCTACCTCCAAGCGGACGCGCACGGAGGTGCCTGCCGCAGACCCAGCGCCGGAAGCGACTCGCATCGTCCGCGCTGATGCAGATGCTGCACAGGGACTGGCCGAGGGCGCACAGCCCGACACGGAGCCTCAGTTCCTGGCGGCGCTCGACACGCAGCGCGCACAGGTCAGCGCGGTCGACGACTTTGATGCCGACTTCAACCGGCTCACTATCGCCAAGACTGCGTCGGGTCCGTTGGACCGCCACGTCGCATCTCGATCGACGAAGGCACAGACGCAACCAGCACGCAAGGATGCAGCGGTGGATGAGGATTACGAGGCATTCAAGCGCATGGCGGAGGAACAACTGCGTATGCACGTGCGCGGCAACTTTGTCCAGGTCGACTTTGTGCCGCTCGTGCGCAAGCAGACGGTGCGCACAGCTACGGCAACGAATGCAGGACCGAACTTTAAGAAGTTTCGACGCAAAGCCGAGGCAGGCGCGCAGGCGCAGGATGCGCAGGTCTCGCGCACCCAGGTGGCGCTCACGCTGCCCGAGAGCAACGACTACGGCCTGGGCGAGGCATACTGGGAGCACAACGACGAGACTTCCCTCCCGCACGAGGGGGCGGCAGCCACTCGTCGCGGTCGCGCAAAGGTCGCACTGAATCCAGCATCGGTTGAAGGTGGCTCCGTCGATCTGGGGCTAGACGACCTGGACGAGGAGTCGGACGACGGCGCGGATATGACGACGCTGCTAGAACGGCGGCATGGCCGACCATCGCAGAGAGCGTCGCAGGCGCGGGGCAGGAAAAGACCCGTGGCGATGGTCGACGAGAGCGACGATGAGGTCGTGCCGTCTCGAGTCGTACCGCGCGCGACGGCGAAGGCGGCAAAGACATCGGCGGCCATGGTACTTGACGACGACGAGGATGGTGACGACGATGCGGACGACGACGGAAACTTTGCCGGCTTTGGTCGCAGCTCCTCCACGCGCCGCAGACGCGATGTGCCTGCTACTGCGTCCGGCCGCACGCGGCGCACAGCCTTCTAAATCCTCCTCTCGCGTAACACAGTCGTTGGTCGAGCGAAATGTGTGGAATTTACCAGACTCTGCAGCTGCCGACCATGTTCATGATTGCCATGTATCTCGATCGTTCCGCCTCGCTGGACATGAGCGAATCATCTTCATCATCCTGCTGCTCCTGAGCTGCTGGTTTGAGAGCGAGCGTGACGATGAGCGGGCGTTGATCTGTAGGTGCAGCATGTTTTACGATGCTGGCGAGCTGGGCGATGTAGAGGTGGTAGAGCGCCGTGTAGGCGGGCGAGGGTTCGGTGCCGACGAGCTTGGTCACTGCCGTCGTTGGCAGCGGTGCCGGCAACGCGCCTGCATCATTGTGCTGGGGTAGTGGATCGGCGGGATCGATGGACGTGGTGGCCTGGTAGATGCAGCCGAACTTATTGAGCTGCGTGATGGTGATCATGATGCGGTCTGCGAACGACTGTGTGATGACGGTGGTGGGTGCGCCGCCGACGGTCTCGCTTGCCGTGCGTGTGGGAAGCACGGGCGAAGAGGACGGGATCTGAGTAGCTGAGATCTGCATCTCAAAGCCCGAGGCTGGATTTGAAGCCATCATCGTGAGGGAAAAGGGACCAGAGACACGAGAGAATGCAGAGGGTGGTGAGGAGAAGCGTAAGCGTTGGTGTGGAGGCCAAAAGTGTTGTTCTCGTCGTGAACCCGCAACGGAAAGACGACCCGACTTCCGAGGTCTCTCTCGACACCTGCTTCGAGCCTAACATGCTTTGCGAACAGCAAAGAGGATCGGGCTCTAACACGCTGGGAAACGGCGGCGATCGCGTGGGCAGTATCGATGGCAAATCGATCTGGCTCGGTGCAGTGGCGTATCGCACGCGCGGTTCGCGTGCAGCGGAGAATTTCGTCTTCGCTTCACGCCAGGCGACCCCCAACAGAAACTCGCCAGGCTTCATCGACCTTCTACTGCCAGAAAGGCGGGCATCTGTCGATGCGTATACCGTGCGCAATCGAAACTCTCACATCGGCGAACGCACGTCTTGACTGGCATCGCCTCAGGCGCCTCAGGTTCAGTCACAATCAGGCCCTGGTGAGATCCGAGATCGTCTGGAAACGGCCGGGTCAGCTCGGGCTACAGCGGATGCCGTCACACTTGGTTGAATTTTAATTTTATCTTTTTGATAAATTCCCAAAGAAGTGTGAGCGATCATCCCCAAAATCTGTGCAGTGGGCGGTGCGGGTCTCCGTGTCGATGCGACCAAGACGCGCGAAGCTCTGCCTGCAGGGACCCTGTTCGCCTCCAATCAGCTGTCCGGCTGCTGTCCCTGATGGCCGGCTCTGCCGATTTTTCACGCACGCGCCGTGCAAACGACCAACTCGCTCGCTTGCGGCTCGGCGCGGATAGGCTCGGATTCACACTGATCTGCACTCTGCTGGTCTCGTCAAGGGTGCGATCTAGTGTAGGTGGAATACGCTTTGCCTTTGGGCGAAGAACCCCTAGCAAGAGCGACACGGAGAAGCGACCGGGTCGTGTGCATGATGCGGCGCAGATCAGGCCACCTCTACGCATCGGACAATGTGTGCTGCTATTGGACGAGGCGGCGACAGCAGCCCGAGGCAGGCGTGCAGTACCGCAGCCTGCGCTCTCGTCGCAGCATGCGGACTCGGCCGTGGCGATCCTACGTCGCCTGAACTCTCTGCCCTAGCGCCAACGGTAGGAAGAAACAAACACATGCGTCCCAGGAGAAGGATCAGTCTCGAGCGACATTCGACGTCGACATTTGAGCCAGGCACTTGTAGACAGGAGTGTCTGCTGCACCCAGTCCAAGTTTGATTGCGTCGCATCGATTCGGATTCGTCCCAAACCTTGGCCTCTGGCTCGCTGCAGCTCCTTCTTTGGTGGGAGTGCGGTCTGCTCTGGGCGTCATTTCCTCGTTTCCAGGGTGGCGTGCGTATCGACAAATGCTGCACGACAAGTCCACGTCGCGTTCGTCTCGCGTGAGGCAGCACACCGCCTTGCTGCTCGATTTTTGTGATGATTGGTCGAAAAGGCGCTGCCAAAATTAAATCCCAGGATGGAATTTCGTGCACCCTACGCTTGGGGCAGCGTCGGAAAAGTTGTTGGTCCCAAAGCCGGTCAGGGTGCCCATCGTCAGTCACGCGGTCGGCTGCTCCGAATTCCAGCAGTTTCGGAACGTCGCGAAGGGTTGCCACCCTCGCGAAGCCGCCGCGACGCACACGCCAAAAAAAAAGGACCGAAAAAAAAGTGTTGGACTGGCTGGTGCATTTTGAGTTGGGCGCCTGCACGGAAGAAAGCGCTCGGTTGCAACCTTTTTTGATTCGGCAACTTGGGGCAGAGGGAGCGCCGCCCTCTGGCTTGTTGGGTTCGTTGTCGTCCCGGCTCCACTCGAGTCCGCGCTCCTGCGCAGCGCAAATCCGGCTGGCAGACTGTCGACCCTCTGTTGGCCTTGTTGGAACTGCGACCGTGCGCCGCCGCCTCCTCTCTGCGGTTGCTGCTGCTGCTGCTGCTGCTGCGTCG